CTAGAAAATTATTTTTTTGACAAAAACTAAGAGGGGATAAACTTGCCAGGCTGACCTGAAAAAAAACCCCTGATCTCACCCATGACTAAGCCAAAAAAAAAAAAAGGAACTCTAAGACTGGGCTATTCAGCACTAAAACTGCAAACTAAAGCTTTTTTTTAAAAAAAGAGGCAGATAATTATATAATAATCAACAAATAAATAAAAGACAGACCTTTCTCCTGAAGGATCTAACTTTCCTATGTTCTCTACCGCTTCAAGTGGGTATGATCTATGCCAGCCCAAGCCTCCAGTCGCCCAGGGAGGCACTCCTAAGGCATCTCCTGCATGTGTCTGCACCACACAGCTCTGCCATACCACAGCACAATGAAGATCACATAAAAAACAAGGCAACCAAGCCCTGATGGAGCACACTATAACCATTCACAGTATTTTTCCTCACTAAACTTTTCTCTATGAAGAGGGTTTTAATTTCCAGTGTTTAAATGCGATCCAGCCTTCTTAATTCCACATGACTCCGAGGTGCTCTATAAAAACAGCGACATCGTAGCTGGCCGAAGTGGGGCAGCTGCATCCTTTTCTCAGATCCACTCGGCTTCACAGATGATGAGCCTTATTCAATGCTTCCTTGGAAGAGAGCCCTCCGCCACCTCAGATTCAATAAATACCAACTAGCCCCACTATCTGCTACCTATTCCTGAAACAGCGAACATCAGGTTTGGATACAGTACGTATGTTGTTTGTAAAAAGTGAAGAGCTTGCACAAGTCTCATGGTTTCCATCAGGCCAGGCAGTTTCTAGATTTCTGCAGCATGAAGCAGGCTGGCAGTACATCGCTGCCCCCTGGATAGGCCTGTGCAGTCCACTGCAGGTTCACCTCTCAGCAGGTCTCGCCCTCATGTCCACAGCTGGGCTTACTGGAGTCACCAGGGTAGAGTATCCCTGAGCAAAGGTACACCAGTATCCGCAGGAGGGGAACTCCATCCCACCACCTTCCAGTTAAAGAGTGCAGAGCCTTCAGAAAACAATCTATATACAACAGAGGAACAAGTAACAGGTTTATTCCAAGATGAAAAGAGAAGAGAACACAACCTGAAGAAGGTGTCACCTGAAGAAACTTCACAGCCGAAACGTTGAGTTTTCTCTCTTCTCTTTTCAGCATGGAATAAACCTATTACTTGTTCCTTTGCAGACTACGCATGTTGACGTAGTTACCCACCTGAACTGTATACAACAGTCGAGGACGTAGGGCAACACAATCTACGACGCGTGACAAGTCCTGAGTTAAAAACGGTCCAGTTTTCTTTTAACAGGGATCGCGGGGCAGCAGGTCAGGTTCTGCATTCCTAACTGGAAGGTTTGCTGGCATGAGCAACTGCAGACAGAGCTGCTGTATCCTTGAGCAAGGTTACTTTATCTGGATTGCTCCAGTCCACCCAGCTGTTTAAACGTGTAACCAGACCTGCTGGGGCTAGCTCTGGCATGGACTAGGACTCCATCCACACAACACAGAAACAGATACAGAAGACGAAAGCTCTGGCCTGTTGAGCTGGTATGCTCAAGTAAATACACGACTTTCATTTTTCCCCCCAGGAAAGTGACAAAATTGAAATTGTTATATAAAAGCATCTGGTATAAGCCCAATCCTAAAACAACACCTAAATTAAATAACCAAAACCTCTTCCCTTTCATGTTTTTTCGACTAATAAAAGGGTTACAAGTATATACAGAACTCTTTTCTGTAAACAAAATCCTTCATATAAGACTACATTAATCTTAATAGCTTATTTTTCATATAAACCACTCACTGCATTTTCTGATCAAAGAGATTAACAGGGAAATATGCTCTGGGCACAACAAGTACACTAAAATCCCTGTTATGTACACCTTTTAAATTCCGCCGTGTACAAACCAAGCGATTTGATTCAGGATAAGATGGCGTATGTTCTGGAACTGTGTGCTTTTTGCCGTTTTGGCTCAAAAATAAAAAATATAACTTCTATATTTATAATATATATATAGAAAAGCAGAGCAGCCAGGACTTACGTACCAGCAGAGAGAAAAAAAAAGCATAGAGAGGAAGGGAAGAACAAAACAGACTGGGGAAAATATGGCTTATTCTAAAAAACTGGAAGTAAGCACAAACACAGTGTACAGGGTTTCCGACAGAGACAGAGGCGGAGATCGTTCTGGAGCAAAAAAAAAAAACCCAAAACAAACGCGAATCCGAATAAACGACACGTCCTTCTTTAAAGTTCAAATGGCTACTGCTCAAGTGGCTCACCCGAATTTCCGTACAGCGCTGCTCGCGCACAACGCGAAGCTCTAGGGCCGCGGTTCCGAAAAGGTTTTTCTTAAAAACACACGAGTGCGGCTCTAGGACTACGGCCAAGAACGCGGCCGGTGCCCCGGCCTGCGCCGCCAGGCTCCCCCGTGGCGTCCCCGAGACAGCGCAGCCCGGAGCAGGACAGGTTTCTCAGCGGCCCCGCTCTCTGCTGCGGACACGTCCGCGTTGTCCGGCCTTTCAAAACTGCAGTGGAAGAAAGAGTGCGGAAAAGCAGAACCGGGCGGTTAACTACTCCGGTACCCCTCCCCTCCTCTCAGGTGGGAATGGGCGTGGAAAAGGGAGTTCCTTCACCCAGGGCCGTGCCAACCTAGCAGAAGATTCGGAAAAAATGGCCCTGCTGATTCGGACTGCCATTTTTTTTTGACACTGAAACCTATGGTCACATAGGGTAAGACAGGGAGATATGGTCAGTCACCTCGACTTACTGTTTAGTCAACACAAAATGCCCACGCTCCCCCTGGCACCAGTTCTCACACCCCTTGTCGGTGGCCTTTTTTTTTTTAGGGAGATCAGTAAATCTGCTCCCCATCTTTGGAAAAGTTTGAGTCCATTCAAAGGTAGACAGAGCAGCACTGTGAAGAAACAGATTCCTGTCTTCAACACGGCAGTTACCCTGATGAAATAAACCCTACAGGTTTACATTACAAACAAAAATATATAGGCATCTTTACATCTCTCTCAGGGTGCCGCTGCTATCAAGAGCTTAAAACAGTCTTGGGTCGCGTCTAAGACACTGACGCACTAATTCTTTCATTGTCTCTTATCTATCAGTAGCCTCTTTTTAACACGTATAAGCACACTTGATACAAATAATTTGATGTCTATCAGGGTAACGTAAAAGAAGAGTTTCTTAAAGATCCTTCCACTCTGTTTAAAGGAAGCATCAAGCCCTACAGTCTAAATGTCAGAGGTCAAGTCTCCTACTTTTTGCTTCCTCTCCTGTAACCTTTGCACCCTCTGCAACTGTCACTGAGATGTTTTTAAAAACGTTTTTTCTTTTCCCATCAACTCATAAGGTGTTTTTTTTTTTAAAAAAGGCTAGACTACAGATTTGCCACCCAATGGAGGAATGACACTGGATAGCTCTATTCAGGACTGCTGTCTCGCTTGGTTTGGGGGAACTCGTCTCGTCGGCAAGACAGAGACACTGCTGAAGGACTAAAAGAACTGAAGGCTCCCCAGGCCTGTTCTGCAGAGGTGGGGTGAACCCCGACTCTCCGTGGCTGTGGGCAGGTAGGCGGAGGGTGGCAGAGCAGAGATGGGCACTCCCTCTCCCTTCCTGGTGGCTCTGATGGGATGGAGGCGCCGAGTGCTGGCATCAGGATGGACAGAGATGGAGGGAGAGGAGGGGGAACCGTCTGTGCCTGCAGAGCCCCGGCCCAAGCAGGTGGGTTCCACGTTCTGGTGCTGTCTCTCCCCCCCAACCTCCCCACGCTCTCAGAACTTCTTGGGGCCCCAGGCGGACATCTGTTTGGGGGCGACTCCGGTGCCGAAGGTGGGGAAGTCCTCTGCGCTGCTCATGTCTGGGGCCTGTGGACACCGGGGGTCAGAGGTCATCGCGGAGGCGGGCGAAAGCGGGTTGCCGCTGGTGGTGGTACTGGTCCAGCCTGTACCAGTGGGTTAAACTTGGACTATCCCACAGGCGCAGCCTGCTCCCCCAAAATTCACGCTCTTCCAAGGTTGATTTTGAGAAGAACCAGGTTATTTAAAATAATTGACTAGCATTAGTCACCATCCTGACGTTACAAGGTGTTTCCCTTACACATCTCCTTCGGAAATGGAAACTACTTAAACCACAGGCAACCTAGTTTCAGGAGAATGAAACACTAAAATACCAAAGAATGATTAATTTGAATGATATTTTTAAGGCCGCCAGATATATTGGATTAACACAGGTGCTCATTTGCACATTTGCAGCTCTTGTGCTCCTCCTATAAGCCATTAGAACCATCTAATCTTGGTGTACCAGTGATGCATTGGAGTACAGCACAGCTCACGGCTGTGAAAATGAAAATGAAATGAAACCAGGGCAAAAGAGCAAGCACACCCACAGAAACCTCTCCTGTCAGCTTTGCATGCCGATGTCTGTAAATGGCAAAGGGATGGCATAATAAGTGCAGGTTGTGTAGCCCCTCAAACCCCACCCATTAGCTCCAAGTGCCCCTTGCCCTCTGACCTTGTTTCCTGGGACATTCCAGGGGGCGTCCCGTACCACAAAACCTTTGGCTGGACCCCTGTGGTCGTCCTCGCTGCGGGAGGGGGGCTTCATATAGGCAGCCATGGTCTCCGTCTCTGTCACGTTCATCATCTCGAGATACATAGACGGGAGATTTTCTTAGGAATATTCACATTATCATTTATTATTATTATAATCATTTATTATTATTATTATTATTATTATTATTAATAATAATAATAATAGTCAACTTTATTTTATATCAGGTGTCTACTTGGGATTATTTTTGTCAGGAAGTATGAAGACCTGATCAGCAAAGGTGTAATGCTTAATTTACACATCAGCTTTTGAAAGCAATTTGAAAATGCTGTCCCACTGACAGTGGAGGTAGGGTCAGCCTACTCATTAGGCAAAACAAAATCTGAAAGTTAAATTCATTTACTGACTGAAATTGCAGGATTTTACCCTGAATTTCTCAGGGAGTGGGTGAAGAGGCCACGGCCTTTTCAAACACATAGCACGGAAGACCCCTATCTCATTGAGCGAGACTCACATATTCCTCCTCCAGGTTGAGCAGGTGGTCGATGGCGTTGTCCACGTTTTCGGGGAGCCCCGTCACTGTCACCCGGTCCGGATCCTCGGAGCCTGGCTGGGGGAACCGGATATCAACCTGCCGATGAAACGCAGAAAGAAAAAAACCTTTAAAATCACCGTCACACAACTGCACCCTAGCACCACCGTGTGACAAGAGTGTTCGTCAGGGGAGACATGTCAGCATTCCCCATTGATCATCACATCTGTGTCTGAAAGAGGGGACAACAGTAATGTATTTTGAAACAAATGGATTTTTTAATGGATTTTTTCGGCCAGCAGCTATATCACTCTGCAACTCACAACTGACAAACCACTGAAGCTCAGCAGGTGAGAGTCTGGTCAGTACCTGGATGTGAGACCTCCTGGGAAAAACTAAGGTTGGTGCTGGAAGAGGTGTTAGTGGGGCCAGTAGAGGGTGCTCACCCTGCAGTCTGTGTGGGTCCTAATTCCCCAGAATAGTGACGGGGACACTACACTGTAAAAAGGCACCTCCTTCGGATGAGACATAAAGCCGAGGTCCTCACTCTCTGTGGTCAGTAAAAAATCCCTGAGCATCTCTCAAAAAGAGTGTCCTGGACAAATTCCCCTGTGGCCTTTGCCAATCGTGGCCTCCTAATAATCCCCCTCTCTGAACTGGCTTCATCACTCTGTTCTCCTCCCCACTGAGAGCTGGTGTGTGGTGAGAGTACTGGTGCACTATGGCTGCCGTCACATCATCCAGGTGGGGCTGCACACTGGCGGTGGTGGAGGGGAGTCCCTATTGCCTGAAAAGCTCTTAAGTAGAGTGTCCAGAAAGTGTAAGTGTAAAGAATTATTATTAAACAAGGCAAAATATTTTTAGAAACCAGATGGCTTAAAATCACCAGAACCACTTTCACCTTGTTTCAAAATTTCATTTGGGTACAGAACAGCAAATGAGAGGCTGAGAATCAACAGGATGTCTTCACGAGCATAAAAAGAGAAACGCGTGTGTGCATCTGCTACCTTGAACTCCTCCATGAGCTTGCGGATGGCCTTCCCCCGGCCCCCGATGATGCGGGCGTGGACGCGGTGGTCCAGCTTGATGTCCTCGCTCACCATCTCCTCCAGGTTGGCCACGAGCCGCTCGATCGCCTGCTTTGCCGCCTCCGCGTTCCGTTCGTACCCCGTGATGGTGATCAGATCCTGGGGGAAGGGGCAGAGAGGGGCGCTGAGGCCGGGCACGCGCGGCAGGAGTGCGTCAGGAGGCAGCAAAGAGCTCTGAAGGGATGCTACCTTCAGCTCAAAGGGGAAGCACGAGCGCCATGATACCAAACGGGCATGGAGACCAGGTCTCTTGAAGAGGCAAGTCCTTCACTGGACGACTAAGCAAAGCTTGGAAAAATCGCTGCACAATCCCGTGAGAGCCAGCTCACTTGCACAGACATTACCTCATGGTCTAAAACTATCATTTTCTTCTGCTCTGTTGCAGTTTCTACATTATTTCTATCTCCACATAAATTTAAAACATAAAATATTTTTTTTAATCTGTTATAGCACTGCCAACCTCTAGATTTGCACCGAAAAGAAATCGGAATTTATTCAGAATTATCAGAATAAATACTAAATTTGAAGCAATTCAAATTTGAAGCCCCTCTGGACTTCTCTCAGGTGTACTCTACTGCACTACCAAGATCAAGAGGTGGGAAAAAGACTGAGCTTTGTCAACAATTTCTACTCATTTTACATTCATTATAAAAGGCATATAGTGCAGAAACCACTTGGCTATTTTTCAATCAAAACTGTTCTAAGAGAATGTTATAACCCTAACTTAAACCTTCAGGGTTCACCATCTGCAATACAATCAGGGACAAAAGTTCATGGCAATTTTTCTTTGCATTTGGATTCTTTATTGGAAAGAAAATGCACTGTGCTCTGTGCTAGCAGACTAACAAGACTGGCCCCCACCAAGCAGCGAGGAGCCCACTATCTGCGGGTCTCAGCTGGGGGTCTCGGGGCAGTCGATGTGCGCCTATACCTGCTGCTCGTCGCCCTTGTCTGGGAACTGGATATTAACGTCGTGGTCCTTGCGGATCTGCGAGATGACCGCCCCCTTGCGCCCGATGATTTTGGGGTGGTACTTGGGATGCACAGAGATGGTCAGCTTGAAGCTCCGCAGAGCCTGCGGAGAACAAATCGGTGCGGTCAGGGTAAAGGGCAAGAGGATCAGTCGGACAGCGCCTCGAACACAGACCAGCCTGCAGAACATCTCCGCTCTGGGGGACTTCAGAGCGAGGCTACACGCTCGAGAACTATAAAATAGGTAGTGTAACCGGTAATACGTCATACGTCTCTCTAAACTCCCACACATTTAAAACCATGGGAAGATGCCGCACAGTCCAATACAACATTTATTGATTTGTATATTACATGGTGCCCTCTGTTAACGTGGGCTCAAGATTGCAAAAAACTGTAGTGAAAAAAGACTTTTATTTTTTACCCTGTGGTACTTAATTGAATGACATGCGATGGCTTTTTTGGCTCTATAAAATATTTTTACTGCATGTGATTTTAGTGTCGGTTAGAGCAAACCAGATGTTGTCGTAATCACTTCGGTGGCAAGTCTAGTGCAGTATTTTCCATCAGAAAAGTCCTACTGGTGTTGGAACCCAAGTAGAGATAAAAGCAGAGGCCTTCCTGGGTCCTCATTACACTGCGGCAGCGGTTTGTGTTCATGGGACAAGGTCCCCATCAGGTGTGCTCGAACACCTCGGCCGCCAGAGACCAGATTTAAGAGTGGTAGTAAGACTCAGTACCCTGTCCTCCTGCTCCGCCTGCAGCTCCTTGACCCGCTCCAACAGGCCCAGCCTGGCGCGCTCCACGTTGGCCACCTGGCCCGTGATCTTAATGGTGTCCGACTGCTGCTCCGGCTGGGGCACCGAGATGTTCACCTGTCAGCGACAGAGCACAGATGGTCATTCTCATATCTCAATCTCAGACCACAGTCTACTCCTGTCCAGCCCTGTCCGCATCCATTTCACTGGGAGAGCACAATGCCGGGGTCAGGCAAGCATTCCACACGACACTGTCACCCCACAGTGTCCCCAGGGTAAACACAGTGGAGGAGGTAACAGTCATCAAGCCTCAAGGCAGTCTTAAAGCCACAGCCTTTATTATTTAAAAACACGAGGAGCATGGGACAGCCCGCCTTCTGTAGAAGCTGAGAGAGCACAGCAACCAAACATGCTAAAGATTAAAGCACTTTTGACATTAAGAGTGGTATGTTCTACTGTGTGTTTCACAGAACTTGTATATATTCATGTTTCTATTTACATAGTTAGAAAAGAGAACAACAAATAAGGCTCACAATGTCATAAATTAATTGTATTATCTATGAACAAAATCTTGTTAAATTTACTCTGATCACTTGTAGGTCTCACAGCAACGTTGAGGGTTTTAAATCCTTCTTCACTGTCGGCGATTGACAGACGTGCTGCACCAGAAGTACAACTCCATCACAATACTCTTTAATCACAGAACAGTTTGGCTCCTTCATACTTATACATTATTAATATTACTAAATACATTCTCCTTGCAGAAACAGGCAAGGCTGTGTCAGGCTGTTAACCGTGATAAGCAATAAAGGCATCAGCTGAAGGGCGAAAGAACATAGATGTAACCGTGAAAAAGCTAACAAGCGTTAAGGCCTGAGCCGCTACCTCGTAACCCTCCATCATCTTGCGGATGCCACTGCCCTTCTGGCCGATGATGTAACGGTGGAGATCGTAGGGCACCTCCACGTCCACTGTCACCGGGACCAGGGCCTGGAGGAGAGAGACGCACAGATCCACGTGTTCTAGATCAGTTCCCTTTCTCGTATTTCACCTATGTGCCCTTGAAGCAGCTTTCTCCATCTCTACAACTGTGGAGAGCCCTACCTTAATCTGATACGTCACCAACAAATCACCAGATTTTAAAGATGTGGAACAATTTAATTGCAATCAATTAAGATTCATTCAATTACAGGCAGTTTGGAACACAAAGCTGAATAGCTAGCGTGGTTCTTCCCTAAAGGAACAGAGATTCCTTTATTTAAACACATATCTGGCTTAATTGATTAATAACTTTCAAGTGCTCCCAATCTTTAGCAACAAATAACTTGTGCGCCACTGAGCCTCTCTCTAGCAAGTCTTATTGGTCACCCTTAATTAAGTGTTAGCAGTGAAATATGCAGACTGAAGAAATTTACAAAAGAAATGCCTCCCAACTGGCTGAACCAGTGAACAGGCTGGAATGCTCGGCTAAAGTTAAGACATTATTGGCTGTGGTCAGACCTACAACTTTTAACTGTGATTAGGATTCCTCCAAGCAGTGGCACACAATAAGCTGAGCTCCATCAGGGTTAGGCAATACTGACTTGGATACAGTAGGTCCAGCTTGGAGCCTAACTGTGAATCCCGTTGCTTGCTGGGGCCCACACGAGCTAGCAGTGCCAACAGTGCAAGACGCTCGCTCTCCTCCAATCAAGAACTGGGGGAATCACAGTGTGAAAAGTAGCAGACAATCACAGATGCCATTTTGGAAGAAGGCTTGCATGGAATTCATACCCTCCCGTGCTGGAAAATTCTAATGGAATCAACAGCGATTCCAGAAGTTTGCAGGAAAAAGGTGCTAACCAGGAAACACAATCCCAAGATCACTGGTGGAATCTAAAGGAAGGTGCATTTAAGACTGAGAAGAGGAGGCACTTTTCATGAAATGTTCTGGGACTCCTCCCCCCCACCGCCCGGCACGCACCAGCAGAGCCACGCTCGCCGCCTCACACTTCTCCTTGCGTCCGGAGATCACAATGATATCGGACTTCTTCGGCAGAAGGTCCAACTCCGCACTGACATCGCCATTTTCCTGAGGGTGTTGCTCCACACCTGGGCAGAAAACAAGGAACAGTAGTTCACTAAAGCCTGCCAGCTGGACTTCTCCGTTGCATCTGTAATAATTCCATCTCGGTACAGGAAAGTTAAGGCGTGTTTTACCATCTCATATCTCTGCCCACAATTCAGGTTTTACGCAAGATTCATACACCTTTCAAACACGAGGAAGACCGTACTGCAGCATCCATTCAAATCAATTTGAGGATTTAAACCCCTGGCTACTGCTCAAACTGCACTGATGGAGCAGAAAAAATAAGGGGGATTTTTAATCGTAACTCTAGACATTGTGCATGTGTGGATTTGAAAATTCAAAATACAGAACAGTGAGCCTGAATCTAAAGACGGGAGGATTTACACTGACATGGGCTTCTGGCCACGTGGCACAAAGTTAACGTGAAATAATAAAATGAAAAATCACAAAGAAGCAGCTGCTGGAAGTTCATTAAGATTTTTCTCATTACGAACAGAGACAGAACTCTGCGGTAGGCCAGGGCTGGATTTTGAGAACAGCATTGAAAACCAATTCAGGCAAAGAAACAAATGGCAGACATGGTGATGGGTGATGGGTGATGGCGACTCTCATGGTGTTGTACTGACCCAGGCTCTCCTCGCGCTCGGGAAACTTGATCTGCACGTCGTGATCACGGGTAATCTGCTGCACGCGGGATCCCTTTGGCCCCATCACAGCACGGTGATACTTCTGGGGGATCACACACTCCACAGTGACCTGAGCCTCCTGCACATCCAGGGGCACCAGACAAGAGAGAAAAGGCACGGTACAGATCAGAATAATTTAATATGACAAAGGTCCCTGCAAGTCTGTGGTAGTACAGCCCAGCGTGATAAAGATGGTTTAAGGTGTATCCAGAAGTACTTTTAAAAGCCCTGACTTCTGTATGAGGATGAGGCATTGGGGACAAAACTGTCATATATGGTACACGTTGTTAGAAAGGTTTAAGCAATGCGTCTCTAACGGTTCTTTTACTTTATTTGCAACCTGACAGTTTTATTCTCCCTTGCACTGACAACACATCAGCTCCCATTTGCTGGATCTCCATCCACTCGACTTCAATGGCAGGAATGAAGCAATGGTATTCTCAGGCCTTTGCACTGTCTGTAGCTGCTGTGAATAAATTCAGGCGGGGAACCCCCCCTTGTCCACTGCGTCATCCAGGACCTTGGCAGTGATTTTCGGAGGACTTTAAAAAAAACCAATCCAAACACGATCGAGGAAAAGAATAAAGAGCGAACATGCTATCGTCATGCAGCATCATGGGACGGGGGCCGAACGCCACAGGTCTGGGGACGAGTGAAGGTGAGGGGGCGGGGCAGTACCAGGTCCTCGATGATCTCCTGAATGCGCTTCTTGGCCGCCTCCACGCAGTCCTTGGCCCCCTTGAGCGTGACCTTGTCGCTCTGCACGCCGGTGCGGGGGAAGCTGACCGTCACGCCGCCGTACTCTTCCGCGATCTCCCGCAGCACCTGCCCGCGCCGCGCCACGAAGTGCCGGTGGTAACGCGGGTCGGCCACCATCGTGTCCTCGACCACGTTGTCCTGGGGGAAGAGCGCGGGAGCTCAACGCAAACATCCCGGGGAGCTTACGCCTGTATTTCGACTGCGGAGGAAGGCAGGGGACCCCAACAAACAGAAGGGAATTGTTCTTCTTCCATCACTCATCACCCCGCTTAGAAATGTCCCTCCCACCCTTTATGTTACGAGCAGAAATAACAGCCTTCTGTGCGAATGCATTACAATTCCATCATCGTGTCACACATTCAACATTTGCTTAAACAGGAAACAAGCACAGCAGGCTTAACACTAGGGTGCTGATCTTTGTAATTCCATTATCACAGAACAATTTTGATAAGGGTGAAAGTTCAGATTTTCATTTAAACGCTGCCGACCCGCCCACACCCTCCTGCCTATGTCAGGATCACCCCCCCGCACCCTGCTCATTCCTGTGCTGTATCTGGTATCAAGCGGGGCCCGTCTCCCGGCTCGAGGGTAGGCGAGGAAACTGCTGCGTTCGTTACCAGGTTCTTGATCAGCGTCTCCAGCTCCCGCTGCGCCTGCCGCACAGCCTCCTCCCGGCCCACGATGGTGATCAGCTCCTGCTCGTGGTCGTCGGCGGAGGGGAAGATGATGCGGGCGCCGGTGCGGTCCCTCACCTTTCGGATGTTCCCACCGCCCCGGCCGATCAGGAACTTGTGGTACTCGGGCTTGGCCTGCAGTTCCACTGTGAAGTTGTTGATTTGCTGTGGAGGGGAGGGGGCAGGACGGGGGGGGGAACGGTGGGTGACAGCTGGCTGGAGGAGAGCCGGACAGTGCTCTTCCTTTCCGGGCACTTCCTCCGGGAGTTCCTACATCCCATTTATTTCCCCACCCCCAGTAACCTGCCTCGTTAAAGGGCTTCTCAGCACTACAAACTTGCAAAATAACCATGTAAACGAATCCGTACGCTGATTAGATTTAATGTCTGCAACTTTGCATTACTGGGTTCTCAAGCAGAATTGATTCATAAAAAAAATCTGAAAAATTCTCAATTATACCCAAAGCTTTGAAACGGGCCATTCATATTTTTTTCTTATAACCTGGAAAAATCCATTCATCTACCAATGGGACAAGGCTGGCAGGCCTGCAGCCCGTCTCTCGGCGGTGAATCCCTTTCACTTCCGCTACCTTCTCTTCAGCCAGCTGCAGCAGCTGCCTCTTGGCCTTCTCGACCTCGTCCGAGGGCCCGCGGATGGTGACCTTGTCGCTGCCCGAGCCCTCGGAGGGGAAGTGGATGTGCACGCCCCCGCAGTCCTCCATGACGGAGCGCACCAGCCGCCCCTTGGCCCCGATCAGGGAGTTGTGCAACTTGGACGGGATCGACACCTCCGCCTCCTTGATGTTTGCCTAAATGAGAACGCAGTGCTTTAAGATGGGGAGGCAAAAATAACACCGTGGCACACAGCAGGCTCGTTTTCAAGAAATCTGAAGCTTTCCACCTGCCGAGAGCTAATTCATTCCTGCACCCTACAGAATCTGAAATCGGGAAGCATCAGAGATATAACGATCCCATTCCACTTGTCTCAGTATTCCATCAGAAAGAGTGCTGTCTCTTTTCTGCATAAAATCAATCTTAAGTTGTTCCTATATGCTACAATATACCATTAAGGGTCCAAAAAGTTCTAAAAATAGCAAGCTCTTAGCAAGATCATGCAAATGAACATTGTGAGATGACTAAAGCTGCAATGGTCAATATGTGGCCTTTCTGTAGCTTGCAAGTTATTTTCCTGGGCCCCCTCCTCACCAGCTCTCTCTGGATGGCCAGGATGCGGTCGCGTGCCGCCTCACAGCTCGCCTTCCTGCCCGTGATGACGATGACCTCCGAGTTGCTGTTCTCCGTGGGCAGGTCGATCTT